ATAATAATAATAATAATAATAATAATAATAATAATAAAGAGGGTGGGAGAGATTCATGGAGGTTTGGCCCGTCAGCAACTACCAGCCACAGTGACTCAAGGGAGCCTCCATATCCAGGGGCAGCGGACTTCTGAATACCAGGGCTGGCAGTCAAGGTCTCTGTCCCCAGTCTGGTGGCCCTCGGAGGCCCCTGGTTGCCCCCTGAGTGAGGCGGGATGCCGGACTAGATGGACCATCAGTCATCTGATCAAGCAGGGCTCTTCTGAGGTTCTTATCTGGTGAAGGCCTCGGCCTCCCTGCCCTGTTGTTGGCCGTCCAGAGGAACTGGTTGGCCCCTGAATGAGACAGGATGCTGGACTAGATGGACCCTCAGTGGTCTGATCCAGCAGGGATCTTCTCATGTTCTTATGAAGGCCTCGGCCTCTCTGCCCTATTGTTGGTCCTCCAGAGGGAACTGGCTGGCCACTTCATGAGGCAGGAGGCTGGACTAGGTGGACCTCACTGGTCTGATCCAGCAAGGCATTGAGGTTTAAAAGGCCAGAACTGTGAATGCCCCAGCTAGATCATGGTCATTAAGCATAACCATTCAAGATTGATAGAGTCAAAATAAAACAGTAATGTACATATAATAATAACTTCATCCTTAGCCTGCTGTTCTCCCTTGGACTCCAGGCAGATTATAAGACATGAAAATAAAGCCAGTTCAGTGACTAAACAGACATTACGATGACAAGAAGGAGCCGCCTGCCACGGGAAGGCAGAAGTCTCGCAATTCTAATCGATGGTTTCAGTGCCTGGGTGGGGAGTGGGGCCCGTTTAGCCTCCGCCCGAGAACAGGGCGGGAGGTCTGGCACAGGGGAGGGCCGGTGGCAGAGGGTCGGCTGGGCGCACAGGAAGCCCCCAGATCGATTCCTGGCAATGCGATCAGTTGAGATGCCTGGACAGCCGGTGATGGAGGAGGCCCCCCTGTGCCTGAGGACCCCGGAGAGTGAGCTGCTGATGGTCAGGGGAGACCCGACTGGCCTGGAGAGGAGTCCAGCTGCGGCCGCCTCTGATTCCGTGTTCAGGCTGAAGGACGGAGGAGACCCTTCCTCACCCTCGTTCCCAAGAGGAAGGGCATGCAAGTGGGTCCCTGAGAGAAGAACCCCAGAAGAGCCCTGCTGGGTCAGGCCAGTGAGGGTCCATCTGGCCCAGTCTCTTGTCTCACTCAGGGGCCAGCCAGTTCCTCTACAGGGTTGACAGCAGGGTTTGGAGGCCGAGGCCTCCCCCTGAGGCTTCCTCCTTGCTCTAGGCTCCAGAGGCTTAGTGCCTCTTAGGGTGGAGGTTCCCCTCCGTCACCAGGGCCAGCAGCCATTGCCAGACTTTATCCTCCTTTCCATCCAATCCCCCTTTAAAGCTGCCCATTCCCATGGCCGTAGCTACGTCCTCTGGCAGTGAATGCCACATTTTAATCACTCTCTGTGCAAGTCTGTATTTCCGCTTGTCCCTCCTGACCTCACGAGGGGTGGAGGGCTCCCGGTTCATCTGACATCCGTGGTTCTCCTTCCCTCACTTAAGTCGCGCAACAACGCCCCTGTGAGGTGGGCGGGACTGAGAGAGTCACTCCCCCGCCCCCGGGGGCACCCAGGGAGCACAGAGGAGAGAACCGGGGAGGCCTTTTGGCCATGGGGTGTCAGGAGGGGGGAGGGGGGCTTTTGGACCCTCGGCAGGAAGCAAACCTGCTGGGGGCCCTTCCACTCCCAGTCTGGGAAGGATCCTCTCCCCCCAGGTGTTCCCGGGCCCCAACTGCAGTCCTCTGGCTGCCCACAGGTGGGCCATTCCTCCACTCTGGGGGGGGGCTTCCCTGGCATCCACCGGAGGCCCCTCCCCCTGTGACCAGAGCCCCTCCCCTCCCCCTGGCCTACTTCATAGCACCTCCTGCTCTGGGGAAGGGGTCCCTGAAAAGGTGAGGGGGGGCCTCCTCCAAGACCTTCCGTAGGGGCTGCAGGGCCTGTTTGCTTGCCAGGGCCTTGGAGGGGATGTGAACAGCTGGCACCTTGGGGGGGTGCAGATTTGAGGGACGTTGTTTGGATTATTACTGTCATCATTTCTGTCGGCTGCTTTGAGCCTGGAGGGAAGGCAGGGCAGGGATAAAGGTAAAGGTTCCTTTGCTCGAAAGCCAGTCGAGTCCGACTCTAGGGTTGCGGTGCTCATCTCCGTTTCCAAGCCGAAGAGCCAGCGCTGTCCGAATACGTTTCTGTGGTCATGTGGCGAGGCGCACGGAACACTGTTACCTTCCCACTGAAGTGGTTCCTATTTATCTACTTGCAATTTCTGGCTTTCGAACGGCTCGGTTGGCATGAGAGACGGGAGCTCACTCCGTCATGCGGCACACTCGGGTCTCGAACGGCTGAACTACCGACCTTCCACAGCCTCCAGTTCAGCATCTTAACCACTTGAGCCACCGCAGCTCCTAGGGCAGGGATAGGTGAATTAATAAATTCTCTCTTTTGCAGGAACTTCGGGGCCGCCCCCCGCAGGTAAGGGTCTCTCTGCTTCTTTGCCACCCGCCTCTCCCCCCCCCCCCCCACTCCCCGCATGACAAAGTCAGGGACCCCCCTCCCCCAGGCAGCAGGAAGAGTGTCAGATGGACTGCCCCCCATTGGGTTTGGGTGTGTGTCTGTCCCCATCCGGCCTCTCCATCAGGATTTGCCCAAAACAGCTCAGTGAAGTTCAAAAGGGGCCACACGACACTGAGAGGGCTCTGAGAGTCCGAAGACCTTTCCTGCGAGTTGAATCTGCCCCCCCACACACAGGCATTCCCTGCAGTGACCTTCAAGTGGGGGTGGTGGGTGGGGACAGGATGGATATCCCCAGGTTGTGGGCGGGGCTTGTGTGGCTCAGGTGAGCTCCCCGGTCTCTGCCCCCCTCCCTGGGAATGGACCTTTCCCCTTCTGACGACTCTCCCCTCTTCCCTCTTTTCCCAACAGCGCTCATCGGTTAACCCTTCCCGCCCCAGGACCCTCCCTGTGGAAACGCCCTTCCTGTCGCTAAGGGCCGCTTGCCAGGGGGTGAAGATGGATGGAGGATGGATGGACTTTTTGCGCCCAGCACGGCTCCCCCCTTACCCTGCAGCTGGCTTCTTCTGTCTTTCCCTTCTGTTGTTTTGGGAGAGGGGACTCATCATTCTGCTATGTCCGGAGGAGAACGGGACTCCCTTCCTCCAGAACTGCACCCCCAAAGGTTGCCACCTCCAGGTTGGGAGATTCCTGGATACTTCGGGGTGGAGCCTGAGGAAGGGGAGGGACCACAGAGGGGTACGATGCCTTGGATCCCCCTCCCAAAGCAGCCGTTTCCTCCTCCAGGGGAACAGAGCTCTGTCCTCTAGAGGTCTCCAGGCACCCCCTGGAGGTTGGCAACCATCACCAGCTACAGAAAGGGGGCGAGATGCTTTGCCCCACTTTGCAGGAACAGGCAGGGAGACTGAGTGGCCACCGTCAGCCCTTCTCCTCCGGCAAGGGGGTCTTTGGTGTTCAGAGTTGGAATTTGCAGCTCAAACCGGCTTTTGATCTTGTTGCCCGGCTGTTCCTGCAAGATTCCCGCCCTCCTCTCTCTCTGGACTCAGCTGGAAGCTCCAGGTGCAGTGGGGGGGGGGCGTTCGTGAGCAGGGGCTGAGAACGGGTGTTGAAACTGGACCACTGCTTTATAAATCTGTACTTTCCAGAATCCGTATTGCTCACTAACCTGTCTTCGCTGCGGCTGGAGGAACCGTCTAATAAAAACAGAATGAACCCTTCTTTGGAGATGCGTCTGTGGCTCTGAGCTAAGCGGGCTTCGCCTTGGAAACAGGCAGGGAGAGGAGAGGACTTGGGGGCCTCCTCTGTGGGGAAGGAGGTTCGTTCTGTGGGCAAGGGGAGCTCGTCCTGCAGAGGGGAGCGACTCCTGACTACAGTGAACGGCTAGTACAATACGGGGACTCCTGCAGGTCTGTTTGATGAGAGATATTTTGAAAGGAGGAGGGATCAGATACAACAGAGGTTCCTGGAATGAAATTTCTGGCCTGAGCTGGTCAGTGGGTGGAGAAGTAGACATGATAAAAAAAAACCTCCTTGCAGCAAGGAAGAGGGTCTCTTTTGTGCTGGGTCCATCAGAGCAGTCAGACTTCTTAACTGGGGTCTGGGGAAGTCAGGCATTGATCATGCGGTAGCCTGAAGAGCTGGCGTGATCTTCAAGGTAAAGGGAACTCAGTAGAGATCTGTAATTTCCTAACCTACGGAGGCAGTTCTACATTTTAACATCTGTTAGGGAATGAATAGAGAGGGACAGAGGATTTGCGCTTCACCCGTTTCTTTGGAATCCCTTGCTCAGCCTGGTGCTGTGCTAAAAGTATCCTTGTGAACATTCCCTTTTTGTGTGTGTGTGATCATTTTCTTTTTCTTAATAGATATTTTATAACATTTGATGCTGGTAGTGGTTCTCTGTAGCACATGGACCTCCACCCTCTTGGACATGCAGTTTTGAAAAGGAGCGCCAGGGCAGTTGGCAAGTGGCAATTTGTTGGAGTTTTCTTATGAAAATTGTGATTCAGCAGAGAAAAACAGCTTAGCGATACCAGAGTGCAATAATCAGACTCAGAGTCCATGTGTGTTTAAAAATATAAAAGTTTTTACTACATTCTAGCACAGGGGAAGGTAACTGGGAGGAAAATAACAACAGAGCTAATCCCTACATCTTCACTCTACAAAGGACATGACGGGACATATTTTCATCTATGGTAGACTTGTAATAAAGCTTTAAAAATGGATACAAATATATTCATTAATTCAGAAGATTTTAAAGATTAATGTACAAGTGAAACCAGAAGCATTTATTTTGATTTAATGGACAGACAGTTGGGGAAAAAGTGAGTCCTATGTTTTAACATCTGATAGGGTATGTATAGAGAGAGGGACAGAGGAACTGCATTTTACCCAGGGCTCATTTTGTAGCAGGAACTCCTTTGCATATTAGGTGACACACCTCTAATGTAGCCCCTGTAAGAAGAGCTCTGTAAACTCTTGGAGGATTGGCTACATTCGGGGTGTGTCACCTAATATGCAAAGGAGTTCCTGCTACAAAAAGATAACCCATTTCTTTTTAATCCCTTGCTCAATCTGGTTCTGTGCTAAAAGTATGCTTGTGAACATTTTTGTGTGAACATTTCTTTTTTAAAAATAAATATTTTATCACTGTTGTGGGGGGGAGGAAGGGAAGGTGATTGTAAGTTGCTTCAAGACTCCTTCGGGAGCTAAAAAGCGGGGTATAAAACTGACTCTTCTTCTTCATTTGGGACCCTGAGGGGAACAGGCGAGGTGAGAAAGTTCTCTGTGGGTCTCTTCTGTTGCTGTCCAAATACACACGCTTCAGAGCAATACAACCCTCCTCATCAGCAGAAGGGGCAGGCGGAGACCAGTCAGTCCGGGAGACCTTCCAACATCAGGGCCAGAAGCAGAGCCGCATTTCCCCTGGCCGTTTAAGGCTCTGCTGTCCTCTGCTTTGGAGGAAATCCCCTCTGAGCGGTCCATGTGTGGAGAAGGGCTGCCCCCTGGAGGGCAGAGGAAGGATGGCAGTTGCACAGTGTGGCTCTCTCTCAGGTGTCTACGGCTGCAGGCCAAGGGCTGCCTCTGTGTGCACATCAGTAGAACACCACAGGAGTCCAGGAGCACCTTAAAGACTAAACAAAAATGTGGCAGGGGAGGAGCTTTTTGGAGTCACGGCTCACTTCTTCAGAGATAGATCCAGTTCGAATGTGAAACAAAGTTTGAGTCCAGTGGCACCTTTAAGACCAATAAAGTTTTATTCAGGGTGTAAGCTTTCATGTGCGCGCACACACACCTCAGATACAAATGTGAGTCCATCTGTCCTTATATCTTGGGGAGTGGAGCGATTTCAGATGCCAAAAAACAATAGCAGGTGAATGAGAGTGGCAGGCATGACTGGATGAGGTGTGATATGTAGAGGGGTAGTCAGTGGGGTAGTCAGTCATGTTATCGAGTAGTCAGCCATGTTATCGAGGCAACAAACATGGAATTAAGCAAACTCCGGAGCACGACGGAAGACAGGAGGGCCTGACGTGATGTGGTCCGTGGGGTTGTGAAGAGTCGGACTCGACTGTGCGACTGCCCCCCCCGATTTCCTGAATCTCGCAGCCTCAGAGCTGTCTCCTCTGAGGCACAGGGGGGTTGCCCTGCATGTAACAACCCTCTCCTTGAATGCCCCACTCTTTGCCAGAACGGAAGAATATCACAAAGTTGAAAATTACAAGAACGTTGGTTCAGCCCTCATTCCTACGTCAGCATTACATAGTAAGTAGGTGCAGTAATACAATAAGCAGTGGTAAGGAAGCAGTGCTTACAAGTAAGCAGTGGGGTACCGCAGGGATCAGTACTTGGTCCACTGCTTTTTAACTTGTTCATTAATGATTTGGAGTTGGGAGTAAGCAGTGAAGTGGCTAAATTTGCAGATGATATGAAGTTGTTCAGGGTGGTGAAAACCAGGGAGGATTGTGAGGCACTCCAAAGGGATCTGTCGAGGATGGGTGAATGGGTGTCAACATGGCAAATGGGGTTCAATGTGGCCAAGTGCAAGGTGATGCACATCGGAGCCAAAAATCCTAAATATAAATACACATTGATGGGGTCTGAACTGGCAGAGACTGATCAAGAGAGAGATCTTGGAGCTGTAGTAGATAACTCACTGAAAATGTCAAGACAGTGTGTGACTGCAATAAAAAAGGCCAATGCTATGCTGGGGATTATTAGGAAGGGTATTGTAAACAGATCAGCCAATATCATAATGCCCCTATATAAATCAATGGTGAGACCTCATTTGGAATACTGTGTGCAGTTCTGGTCACCACACCTTAAAAAGGATATTATAGCTTTGGAAAAAGTGCAGAAAAGGGCAACTCGAATGATAAAAGGGTTGGAACACTTTCCCTATGAGGAAAGGTTAAAGCACTTAGGGCTCTTTAGCTTGGAGAAAAGACGACTGAGGGGTGACATGATCGAGGTTTATAAGATTATGCATGGGAAAGAGCAGGTAGAGAAAGAGGTACTTTTCTCCCTTTCTCACAATACAAGAACTCCTTGTGGGCACTCCATGACATTACTGAGCGGTTGGGTTAGAACGGACAAAAGGAAGTACTTCTTCACCCAAAGAGTGATTCACATGTGGAATTCACTGCCACAGGAAGTGGTGGCAGCTACAAGCATGGATGGTTACAAAGGGGAATTAGATAAGTATCTGGAGCAGAGGTCCATCAGTGGCTATTAGCAACAAGGTATAGATAGGGGCTCTGGGGCAAGGGATGCTCTGTCTTCTTGGTGCTTGGGGCTCAACCCCCAAACCTGTTCACAGACCTGTTCCTCGGCTAAAAGTGCTGCTTTGCTATGGTCGGAGGGGCCCGGTCCGCGCAAACTCATTTATGCAGCGGCCCAATCGCTGGCTCGCAACTTCAAGGCCAGGAGCTCACACAAGAAGGGTTTTTGCTCACGAGGCTCCGCAGCTCAGTGGGAGCATCGGCAGAGAGCCCTGGCTCTGGCTGTGCCGCCCGGGATTGCCGCCCTGCAGCTGGCTCTGAGCATGTGCAGAGTGCCTTTCCCGGGGCAGCGCTTCTGCCGGCCGGCCAGAGTCCTCCTTCCTCGCTGTTTTGAGCGGGAGCCTGCCGCCGGCCCTGCTGCTGGAGAGGCAGGTGGGAGGGGGCTGCCCTGCCCTGTCCAGCCCCCCCCCCAAAACCCGGTCTCACAGGAGAAGGGAGAGGACAGAGGCTTCGAGTGCGTGTGTGTGGGGGGGGTGTTTGCTGGCTGCGGAGTCCGGCGGTTCTCCTGCCTCTGTGTGCTTTATTCAGCCAATCACCGGCTCCGAGAGGGCATGAGTCATCAGTTGCCGGGTAGAACCCCCACTGCTGCCCGGCGCCCCCTCCGCACTGGACGCACGTCCCTCGTCTCTGCGACGGCCGCAGGAATGAAGGGGGCGGCGGGCAGCGATGGGGGCAGCAGTGGGGCAGAGAGAGGCGCAGGCTCGAGCGCCGTCCTGGCCCGGGGCGGGGCGGGGAAGAAGCAGCCAATGAGAAAAAGGCCCGGGTGCTGACCCGTCTGTTGCCGGGTAGAAGAGCGGCGGATCGACGGCGGCGCCCGGAGTTGCCTTAGACGGAACCCGACGATCCCGCCGGGGGGTCCGTCCATTCCGACGGAGTCTCGCCTGCTCGGGCCGGCAGCGGCTCTGCGGGGACTCGGGCTCGGAGGCCTCCCTCCTCCACCTCCCCGCCTGCCCGAGCCTTTCCGCTGGAGCAAACTCCGCATCGTGCCGGGCAGACCCGCCGGGGGGTCCGTCCATTCCGACGGAGTCTCGCCTGCTCGGGCCGGCAGCGGCTCTGCGGGGACTCGGGCTCGGAGGCCTCCCTCCTCCACCTCCCCGCCTGCCCGAGCCTTTCCGCTGGAGCAAACTCCGCATCGTGCCGGGCAGAGAGGC